GTACTTATTGGTCAAGCAAAACAATCATTTGATAATAATGATTTTCCAAAAGCTGAAAGCTATCTTTTACAAGCTCAACGACCTGATCTTGCTGTTAAATTATATAAAGATAATGGTATTAATCATTAAAACAAAAAAAAGAGAATTTTTTTGTTTAACACAATTATCATTTTTTTTTATTTGCAGGTTTAACTCAAGATGCCTTACGTGTATGTCAAGAATATATGCCAAATAAACTTGATGATTTACGTGAAGAATTAGCGCGTGGTGTAGGAACGAGACCTGGTTCAGGACATCGACCAACAACATCATATAATAATGATGGTATTCTTGAACAAGCTGCTCGATATGAAGCTCAAGGTGAATATCAACGTGCTGTTGATTTATATTTACGTTTAATGCCTCAACAAGATATACCAAAAGAAACACTTGTTAAAGCTTATTTAAAAGCAAGTGATTTAGCAAGAAAATTTCTACCTGAAACAAAAGCTCAACATGTTATACGAACAATTGGTCCACGTCTTGTACAACTTGGAAATCCAAATCAAGCTGCTGAACAATATTTACATGTTGAATTACATAAAGAAGCTGTTGAAGCATTTATTGCTGGTAAACAATGGGAAAAAGCAAAAAAATTAGCATTAGAAATTGATCCACAATTAGCTAAACATGTTGATAATCTCTATAAGAAACATTTGAAAGAACGTGGTGATGCTAAAGAATTAATTAATGTTGATGTAACAGCTGCATTAGATTTATTTGTTGAAAAAAATCAATGGGAAGAATGTTTTGTTGAAGCACAAAAACATGGTCCATTAGTTTTACATGGTTATTTAGCAAAATATGCTGCACAAATGATACAAGCAAATCGTGCTGAATTAGCTGCTAATGTTTATAAACAATATGGAGCTATAGCTATACCACAAAATTTAAGAATTTATAAAGCATTATTCTATCGTATGTTAAGAATTGATTCATTAAAACCTGAGAATTATTCAAAATGGGCTGATGTGCGTGATGTTTTACATGATGTTTTTGAAAATATGAATTCATCAGCATCAGGATCAGCAGGTGGTATACAAAAAGAAATTGAAGAACAACGACCAACATTTGAAATTCTTCTTTGGTATAAAATCAAACGAAAAAAAAAACATTTTTTAATCTTTAAAATGAATTCATATATATATATATATATTTCTTTTTAGGGTTGCTCATATGAATGCAATGCGTGCAGCATGTTCAGAACACGAACAACTTGATATAATAACAGCAAAACTTTCAATATCACTTCTTCGTCATTCAGATATTTTACCAGTTGATCGAGCATTTTATGAAGCTGGTATAATGTGTCGAAAAGTTGGTTGGAATGAAATGTCAATGGTATTTCTTAATCGTTATTTGGATGTTGTTGATGCTATTGAAGAACATAATCCTGAAATGTTAGCAACATCAGATTTTGTTGAAACAGATGTACCATATGAAATTGAATTACCTGAACAACCATTTTTACCACCTGAACAACATGAAAAAATTAGAGAACATGTTTTAACACTTTCAATGAAACAAGCAGTGAGTTTAAACTTAC